ATTTCCAAGTGGTTGCATATTATTGTTAAATTAATTGTTGGAAATTTGCTTTGGGTCCTGGCAAATGAGCTCAGTTCCAAAACCTGCCATTTCTTGTGTGCWCTTTAATTCTGAAGAGTGGCAGAACTCAGGCTGCTTGTAAAGCCTCTCAGAAACATTTTGTTCTTGAGGAACTACTGTCTCTTCTGTGAAGCATTAAATGAAAAGATGAAAAGCTCAGAATGATTTTCCAGCAGTGATCATTTTTCTGCAATCACAGAGRTTGTCCCTTGGCATTGTAAACACAGCGAGCTCTTAAGCCAACAAAGCTGTTCCRATGACGTGAAATAAAAATGCCTTTATTTTTCTCCTTTTCTCAAGAGTCTCCAAGCAGCTTTCACCTTCCCYAGCTCCCCATGAATGCACCTTTTGTTGYSAGCTGCAGGTGACCCAGGGAAATGGGTGACTTCAGCAGCATCAGGGCTTGAAAATCAGTGAGAGCTGTAAGATCACTGAATCCAGCAGTCAGCTCACCACTAACCCATGTCACAAGTGCCACATGCACATCGTTTTTGAACACTTCCAGTGCCTGGCAGCCCTTCCCATGCAGAAATTACCCCAGTATCCAACCTAACCCTCCCCTGTTTCAGCCTGAGGCCGTTCCCTCTCCTCCTGTCCCTGTTCCCTGGAGCAGAGCCCGACCCCCCCGGCTGCCCCCTCCTGTCAGGGAGTTGTGCAGAGCCACAAGGTCCCCCTGATCCCCCTTTTCTCTCTTTTCTCCCATTTCCCAGCTCCCTCAGCCTCTCCTGGTGCTCCAGACCCTTCCCCAGCTTCATTCCATTCCCTGGCCACACTCCAGCCCCTCATGTCTTTCTCCTAGGTTCACTGCAAGAAATGTTTACCATCTTTTGACTGTGCTGTTCCCTCTGCAGCTTGGCCAGCTCGGCCTTTTGTTTTGAATTCCTAATTGCTATAAATGTGAAAGTTTCTGATTTTTGCAGCCTTTTTGTCTGGCAGYCGCAGTAACTGAATATCTCTGTTAGATCCTTAAGAAGCATCTCTTATCCARTTGTCCAGGGCAGCTATGGCTGCTCTGTCCATGGAAGTGTCCAAGGCCAGGTTGGATGGAACTTGGARCACCCTGGGATGGTGCAAGGTGTCCCTGCCCATGGCAGGGGGTGGCACTGAATGGGCTTTGAGGTCCGTTCCAAACTATTCTAAACCATTCCTGGGATTCTGTCCCCCACATACATTCAAGAGCTGGGTTATTCTTCCAAAACCTGCAGGTTTGCATTGACCAGCACCTGTCACACATTTGAGCTCTTCTGTATTCAAAGCATCTCTGGTATGGGCTGTGGTAGGGCTGGGCAAAAAAAAAAAAAGTAAACTAAAAAGTTTTCTCTGGAATGATTCACTGTAAAGTAAGTTTTACCTTCACGCAGGTGACCTTGCCTTCCCACTCTTTAATGTTGGCTTTGTTTACTGCCCTTGCCTGTTGCCCAAACTAGAAGGACCAGTGTGTGCTTGGGAGTCTCTGGCTCAGGGAAGCTTTGTAATAATCCAGCTCCACCTTGGAACTGAGGCCTCATATCCCACAATCAACGTGACAGTAACCAAGGAAAAAAACCCCATCAGCCTGCTTTTTTTAGGCAGAATCTTGTTTTATTTTTTCCATATTCTCTATGCTGCAATGGCTGATTTAAGCACAGCTCAGTTGGGTGTGTTCTAAAGTAGTTCTGGGTTAAATAAAATGTTCACTGAGGATCTTTGTAAAATATTAATAACTTGTTTTCTACAGTATTGATGGTAACCTCAACTTTTRTGTCTCTGGAGGGTTATTTCATATGTCTGAGGTACATTAATTTATTAGAACAGTTTGTACTTGAAGAAGTGTTTAGTTCACAATCCTGCAAGGAGTTGGCATCTCCAGTCTCATTATCTTGTGATTCCCAAGGGACAGAGCAGACTCTGCTTTCCATCCCTGCAAAAGGAGTTTTCTCCCTGTGAGGGACCTCTTGCTCCTTTCACTTCCTCAGGAGCTGCAGCCATCTGGCACATCAGAGCAGCAAACCCATCCTGTAYACCCTGAGCATCCAGCTTAGTGAAATCAAGAGGAATAAAGGAAAAGGTGAAGCAGAGACTTCTACCACTGGGATCTGACACTCCAAGAAGATCCTTCCCTTTCCTGGATTCTTAGGAGTGCAGTTTGGCAGCTGGAAAGCTGCTCTGATTTCAGATAGCAGGTTGAAGCTCTTTGATTTGGAGACTTGTGTGTTTATGCCTCACCATATATATTTGTGTGTTTTTATATAAATAACCCCCCACCTGCTGTGTTCCTGCTGCATTATCTGCAGATGCCTCATGGCCAGGGCTGATGGGCATCATGGAGCTGCTTACCCAAGTCTTTCATGGCCAGGCAGCCTTTGATCAGCAGTGCTGGAGAATCCATCAGGCCTCCCCCACACCTCCCCAGGAGCCCTTTCCCTGGCCTGTCTCAAAGCCTGGGGCATGTCCTGAGGTTATAACMTGTGTTTTCATCTGGCCATTCCAGCCGCAGAAAATGTGCTGAGAGTTTATGCTGGAGATGAAAAACAGAGACCCAGACTCCACCTCTGTGCTGGGCTTGCCCTCTGCTTTCTCTGATCCTGATACATTTGAAATAGTTTGGGTTTTTTTGCATGGATAGGATGGCTTTTGAATGGTTTGGGTTTGTTGCTTTATTTTGGYAAGTCTCGAGCTCCAGACTCTGTGTTCTCTGTTTGCAGGCTGTCTGATATTTAGCTCTGCATGAATTATCAGGCTTCAGCTGTTCACTTAAAATGTTTGTGCTGAACTTTAGGTCTCAATCTCATTTTAGAGGGTAGTAGCTGACTCCTCTGGTTTTTTCTGCCGCAGTGGAGCTGATGTTTCCCAAAGTGGTCAGAGATGAGCTGGTCGGCATGGAGGGCTCTCTGCTCCTTACCATTCTTAGGCTGATATTATCCCTGATATTTTTGCTAATCTGTACATGTCCTTGCTTGCTGCTGCTSCTGTTTGCATATGGATTTGTTCATGTTTTTTCCTTGTTATCTCCTTTTCTTCAAGCTTTCTAACCAGGAGTTGCTCTATCCAGTCCCACTGCCCTGGTTTGTCACCTGCTCCTTCCCTCAGTTCCTGGGAAGAGCACACCCTGGCTTTGGCAATGCTCTTTGTGTCATCATCCCAGCTCCGTGCAATAGCTGGAGGGGAGCTGGTTATAGAAATAGCACCTTGTTCCTCTTTCCCTACATTTCTGGCTCTGAGCAGGGCTCACACAGTCCTGTGGAAGGTGGTGACATCGCACTGCCWTTGCTCAGAGTCCCTGTTCAATCAGGAGCTAATTGCTTTGGAAAGAAACTTTGTAAACCCAAAGGGATAAAAAGTATTTTCTGAAACCAGTCTTTCTTTCAACCCAGCCTATCTGCTTCTGTTTCCTTGGGGGCTGGTTCTGCCAACTGCTAGACAGATCCTTTTCCTATTGCCAAAGGAAGCTGTGCATTCATGCATRCTCTCTGAAAAACCCCAAACCTACCCCTGCTTTCCCCCAAAACCCCCAAACCCCTCAGTCTGAGGGGTAGAAACAGCTCTTTTAGCACCGTTTGTTTCTGACTGTTATAGGAAATTCTCTCATCCCTTAAGAGGGATGAGAGAACACCTGAGAGGTTTTTTATTTTCTGTCTTTTATCTTTCTGCTTATTGTTTGGTTCTTCTGCATGCTGGAGAATGATTCTTCTTCCGTGCTTCCTTCTTCTTTGGTTCTTCTTCCATGCTGGAGAGTGATATTTGGTAGCAGAGAACAACGAGTTCCTCTGGAATCTCAGCATCCAGAGAGGCTGTGGTAAAACAAGGATTGGAAACTGTTCAAAGTCAAAAAGCAGYCGTTAATGTTCCTCTCAAATTGTTCTGTCAGTTTGCTGAATGCTGCTTTACTGAGGGTCCTGAAATTGGGGGGTCTTTATTGGGGTCCTGAAATTGTTTGGGTTGGGAGGGACTTTAAAAACCATCCCAT